AATTAATCAACTACAACATAATCAATGTAGACATTTTGAAGAAAAGTGTCCACTCATTACCCACTTCTCCAAAGACCACATATCTTTTTATTTTTATACCTACATCATCTCCCACTAAACCCTAGCAGTATTTGGTGGTCAATGGTTCAAACTCCACCTTCACAAAATACAAGGACAAAAGAGGGAAAAAATAAAGTAAGTAATTTTATTTCTTTTTCCAATAAAAGAATTTACGTAAAGAAAAAGAAAACCCTTTTTCATTTAATTTCTCTCTCTCTAATTATTAATTTAACAGCAAAGATTCTTATTGCTTGAAGAATGGATACTACATTGCATGTACATAACATAATTTGTTTTAAATGGATAAGGGGAATCTACTAAGGTGAAACACGAGTTAGTGCAACAATGAATAAGCTAGATTATTTTTTAGTTTTCTATTTATAATTCAAAAATTACGTAATTAAAACTCTTATTATAAAGTTATTATTATTATTATTGGTTAAGCTTTTTCACCTTTTTCTTCGTGTATATAAAGGGGCACACTTGCTATATTTGCATACCCCATCCTAAAACCCTTTGTTTGAGTGTGCTAACAAGAAAGAGATGGCTGGTGAATTTAGCTCCCTCTTTCACAAGATCAAGCCTTATTTGGCTATGGTATCTTTGCAATTTGGGTATGCAGGGATGTATATTGTCACCATGATGTGTTTCAAAAGAGGAATGAGTCATTGGATTCTTGTTGTTTATAGGCATGCATTTGCCACCATTGCTGTTGCACCCTTTGCTATCGTTCTCGAAAGGTCTGTCTATCTATCTATCTATCTATCTATCTATCATTTTTATTTTCTTTCTAGTCGATTGCTTCATCCATAGTACGTACGTAGTAGAATTATGGGGATATATATATATAGAGAGAGAGAGAGATTGCAACATCAAGAAAAGGTCTTTGTGTTTCTTGTACTTGCTTGAATCACAACCATATTTTACCACATGTCTAATTTATATTTGGTGTTGAAGTACCTAATGATTTCATTTAAAATTTTAAGGTATTTATATAAGTGAGATATTTGCATGTTCTAATACCATGTTGAATGTTTTTGATGGAAAATTTTAACATGTCAAATTAAAGAGAGTGCATTTTAAATCTCTAACGCCCAATTTTTAGAAGTTGACGTAAATTTTGACACATACCTTCTTTTTGCTTTGATTTTGTATGCAGGAAAATAAGGCCAAAGATGACACTCAGGATCTTTATTAAGATAGTGGCTCTTGGTTTTCTAGAGTACGTACTTATTTTAAACTCAATTTACATGTGAACAAATTACTATAATTAATTATATATATATACTCCAAAATATTTGTTAGTAATTTTCTTTCATGAAATAATTTAATTGTCTATTATTCAGTCATGCAAACGCATGAGATTCTAATGTCACTTTTTCTTAATTAATTGTACCATCTTTTCTTCATTTCACCATGCATAAAATTGAATATAGAAACATCGTATAAAATTGTTTAACTTTTTTCTACGAGATCTTGTTTACTCTTAAAACGTTTAACTAATATTTAAAAACGTTTGGTTAAAGGATTATACTATAAATTCTACACCTTTTATAGCTTCACATCACCCTAAACCTTAGCTTATATCCTATCCTACCCTACCCCCCCCCCCCATAATAATATACTTATAGTTTTAATTTTCCTATGTTTTTTAATTAAATCTTTACGCCAGTAGAAGAGATTCAATAAAATTAATTATCACACTAAACGGAATAAATTAAAAGTCGGCTATTTTTATGGTACGTTTTTTTTTTGTTAAATTTAGCACGTAAAGCATATTTTGGTGATAGAGTAATCACTAATCATATTATTCTTAAAGGTTAAACAAAACAAATTAACTTCATTAAATAACGTCGAAATAATTGCTAATCATTTCGAATTAGCTAGAAAACAAATTAATTATGTTTAATTTATTTGAAAATTTTAAGTACTAGAGACAAAAATAATAATGTTTAACAATATTATTCTATTTGAGGAATATTGATCAAGAATATATGTATGACATCTGATAGTACTACTATTAAAGCATAAATAAAATGATTCCAGAAAGATATTGTTTCATGGAATAATTTTAAACTTTATTTTTTAATTATGTATAGATTAACATATAGTAATAATTATTTATACTTGTAAATAAAAATTTAAAATAAATATAATTTCAGGCCAGTGATTGATCAGAATTTGTACTATTTGGGACTGAAGAGCACAACTGCAACTTATTCATCTGCCTTTGTTAATCTCCTCCCAGCAGTAACCTTTATTCTGGCAGTAATTTTCAGGTATTTTTTTTTTTTATGTGTATCAATAATATTAAATTAATCTTTTAATTATTGAAATAAAATAATATGGTAGTTGATTGTACAAGTAATAAGTTATAAAAAGTATGACCTCACATAAGTAAAGTTGTTGCTTCCCACTTGGAAAGCAATGATATATCTCAAAAAAAGTTAGTGGTTGCTTATGCAGTTATGTTATATGATTATTGACACATTATAGAGATTCTGTTACTATAGAACAAAATAATGTCAAAAAATAGTACAAACAAAATCACTATTGAAAAATCAGGAATTAGCGTTGGACAAATTCTGTAGCTAAACAACAGAATCATAATTAGTTCAATTTTTTGTTAGTGAATATGGAACTCATGATTTTTTTAAAATAATTTTTTGGTTATGGGTAGAATTGAGAAAGTAAACCTGAAGAAAAAATCAAGTATGGCAAAGGTGATAGGAACAGCAGTAACAGTGGTTGGAGCAATGGTGATGACTCTTTACAAAGGGCCAATGTTCAACCTGGTCCCACGTCACGGTGGCGCCCACCATGAAGCCTCAACCGCGACCCCTGAGAATTGGGTTGCCGGAACCATTGAGCTCATCGCTTGCATTGTTGGTTGGTCCGGTTTCTTTATCGTTCAAGTAAGTCAAGGAACTCTAGTAACTCTGAATAGTTGTTTACACAACGAGTTACATTATCATTAGTGTCAATATTGACATGTCTATTTTACTCAATTAAATATTATATTAATCTTTTTTTTTTATGTATATATAGTCGATGACACTAAAGGAGTATCCTGCGGAGTTATCACTAGCAGCATGGGTATGTGTGATGGGGGTAGTGGAAGGTGGAATTGTTGCACTAATAATGGAACGTGATTGGAATGCTTGGGTTATTGGCTTTGACTCTAGGCTACTTGCTGCTGCCTATTCTGTATGTCTTTTTTTTTTCTAATTAGTAAATTAATTTATATCACTTATGTAACAAGTGTGATTTAATTAAGATTCTAACACAATATAATTTGTATGTTTTTTTAGGGTATTGTATGCTCAGGAATTGCATATTATGTGCAAAGTGTGGTTAATAAAGTAAAAGGCCCAGTATTTGTGACAGCCTTTAGCCCATTAAGCATGGTCATCACTTCAGTTCTTGCTGCTATTATCTTAGCTGAGTCAGTCCATCTTGGAAGGTATAATAATTATTTTTCTCAACATATCACTAGTGATTCATTTTGATATTTATCTAATAATTATTTTCGCGACGATTTCAGCTTAATTGGAGCAATTATCATAGTCATGGGACTATACTCAGTGGTGTGGGGCAAGAGTAAGGAAGGGAAAGGCAATGAAATCACTAGCAAAGATCAAGAATTACCAGTTGTGGACATCAAAGAAAGATCAACTATTGTTGATGATATTATTGAGAAGAAAACTCCAATCTTCCAAGAGAATTAACATGACCAAAAAACAAAGAAGATGTTGTATCTTTAAATCTGTAATTTTAATTTTTGACTTGTTTCAATGTTAAATTTTCTAAGTGTTGCTGTAAAACAATGCACTAATGTTGTGATCAATTGTTGCTTGATGGAAGGGGAAAAAAAAGTGTAATCTACTTTTTGTGTAAAAGTTAAGGAGTGGTATCTCCATTTGGGAATGAAAAATGAAAATGTTATATTTTATGTACCTCAAATACTTTACATTCATTGTTTTGATATTTCAAGCATATTGTCGCGCTCCAAATCTAGAGGAGCATGTCATCGATATCAAAAAAATTAAATGTGCGCCAAGCGAATGAAATAGATGCCTCTCCATCCATCATGATTCATGAAATATGTAATATATCCGTTTAATTGAGCATAACTTCAATTTAATTGGAAATTTGTATAGACATTGCATGATCATAACTTTGCAAGGTGTACATCATAACCTTTAACCACTTTTTTGAAAAGTGGATATCCTTTTGTTTTTTACATTCATCCAAAATATATACTAACTTGTAAAATGTGACCACAATTAGGTCATTTACACACAAACTTGGCATATACTCTTTGGATAATAACCCCGCATCATCAAAATATATATCACTATCAAGTATTAATTGCGGAATTTCAGATCACTATGTTATATTCATTGTAACATTATATATATGTGATTCATGAAAAGTGGATGTATATGCAAGATCGTGATAATAAAGGGAGTTCAAATGTCACACGAATATGCAAGTCTCTTTCAAAATAATGCTCTTTAGGCCACCAACTTCTCAAGTAAACAGATGGTTTTTAATGTAGGATACAGAGTGATGTAACAACAAATAATCAATTCAAGTTATATATAGTCTATCAACTAGGTTCCAACTTAGATTACACACATATAATCATTTGTTCTCAATAACTGAATCACCATATACACCCAACCTATGCACATTGCACACTTTATGTAATAAATCATTGTTCAAGCATAGTCAAAGAGACTAGCTATATTCTATCTCGAAAGCGTAACATACGTGATACGAGCCTTCACACAATCACATTTCCCTTCAGAAACACCTCGAAAAATCTCCCTATCTATCAAAATCATACTCTACGTGAGTTTTTAAGTCTATCTACATACGTGTTGGTATATAAAATTTTAGTTCAAAAATCAAGTAAAAAAATCAACTTTGAGCCCCTGAAGTCAATTATTTCAAAATCAATTTTCAAAGGATCTTAAAATGAAATTTTATTTCAGATTGAAAAGCCTCCGGATTGAACAAACGCAACTTGGCACCATATATCATCAACATCACAAATGCCTCCAAGTTTGAATTCGACCATCAAAATTTATTCGAAACCTATAAAAGATAATTAATAGTGCAAATCAATCAGTGATCCAAAATTGTTTTGACCAAATATTGACGATGGTCAATCCTAAACTTTTCAAAAGCTAGATATCAATTCAATGGTCCAAATCACTCCCGAACGCCTCAGGATTCAGGTAAACCATCCAATTAAGTTAGAAATCACTCTTCCAACCTAGTGGAATCATCAAGACTCAAATCCAACTTCGTTAATCCAAAATGTTGACCTTGAATAAACTTTTCAAACTAAAAAACTTTTCTAAAACACATTTGATCACCTCGGAGATTGTGTCACTCATCTCTGTAAGTCATGAATAGCTAAAGAAAGTTATGAGGAGGGTTAAATATGAAAAATGAGATAGCAATCACAAAACAATCATAAGGATCATTATAGAAGTAATTTGGCAAAATAAACTCAAGTTCATTTTTACCATAGTGATAATGAAATCGTCGAGAATAGAGAAGCTGTTAGCAAGCTTATATATGTTTTAGCTAACTTGGTATCTTTGTAAGCGTCTAAAGTTTCGTCCCTGAAATACAGCAAACGGAAAAGGAAACTAGCAAGCAAACAATAGTATTTGTATTTGAATTTATGTGAAGCAATCTTTAAAAAAACTTCAAGAAAAGATATGTAATCCCCTGATTCTTCTCTTCACGGATGTTCTTGATTTGATGGAATACTTGCGGCTTAACACTTGGAGCGAAGACTTCTTTGGATGCGGAAGACTTGCAGATCACCACTGAGGAGCAAGGATTTTCTATGTATTTCTCTGTGTATGTTCTTTTTTTTCTTCTTTTTCCTTTTGGTCTTATGAAGACCTCTTTATATATAGGCTTGAGCTAGGGTTTTAGGGGTATTTTCGTCCAAGCAATTTTGGCCCTTGGGCTTGAAGAACATTAGTTGGGCTCGTCTTGTCAACTTAATGGACTGACCCAAATGTAATTTGGATTTTATTTAAGTCATATATTTTGACTTAAATATTAATTCGACTTTATTAACTAGTAATTTGACTTGGTCAATATATCAGGAATTTATGGATTAATCCAAAATTTAATATGAATTTATCAATAAAATTTCACTGTCTACAAATGCCCTCTGCTTCGAGGCTTGTTGCAGTGTCCAACTTGTTGAACCTTTAAAGACAAGGCTTGAAGTTGTAACATCTCGCACCTAGAAACGACTATAAAGACTTTAAAATATGAAAATATTGATTTTTGGAAAAAATAAGGAAATCTGGAAATTTTGTTTAAGTTAAGAAAGTAAGTTTTGGCTGGCCATTTTCAAATGGCCATAACTCCTAGCTCAGGATGAGTTAGGAGCGGCTCTTGATATGGTTGGAAAGATCTTGGAGAGATCTTTCCAAAGCTGCTGCAATTGCACGATTTCGACATCGTATGAGTGAGATATGCCTTTCGGAAGTTGGGTTGTTGGGTTGTTGGATTGAGGAAAGTCCCAATCCGAATTTAGGGAAGGGTAAAGTAGTCTTTTTTCTAATTAATTTCCTAATTTGATTTTAGGGATTTATTGGGGTAAAAACATGACTTAGTCAGTTTGGAGAATTGAGAAATACGCTTAGGGCTTGGAGAAGAGAGAAAAGAAGAAAGAAAGGGAGAAAAAGGTAAAAAATTCGTCAAGATCATCCAAGCTTGCAAGTGGAATTCGTCGGGGGTGATCCCTATTAAGGTATGTGAGATCTTTTTGTGTTGGGTTAGTTCACCCACACACCAACTTGTTTCAATCCAATTGTTTTGAGTTGTTTACATGTTGAAGAAGTAAGGTTCTTGAAGAACAAATTGTAGAATTCTTGTTGGTTGAGTTGTTGATGCTTGGGGGTGAGTTGATTCATGTTTCCGAGTTGTTTTTCGAGTTAGATTGGTTGTATATTGAGGGTACAATTGATCCTAAGTGTTTGGGGAAGGAACTATGGAAGTTAGGGAAGTTTAGAGAGGAAGAACGGAAGAGAAAAGTCGGAAGTTGCTGGGCAAAAAGGGGCTGGGGGCGCCGCGCCTGCCAAAGCGCCACAAAAAACTCTCTGAAGTTTGGCCTCTGGCGTGTCGCGCCAGCCAGAGCGCCAACCAGACTTCTCTGAAGTTTGAGGGCTGGATCCCCGCGTCTCTCAGAGCGCTAAGGACATTAGTTCTCCCCATTCGTTCCCCACCTTTTCGTACTTGTTCCTAAGCGATGTACCTATGGTACATTCAAACATCATGAAATCATCCATAAACATG